ATTCTAGACTTCTTAGACTCTGAAGACTCTCAGCACCTTAGAATTTTAGAATCTTAGACTTCATTCATTCACTCATTTATTCACTTCATAAATTCACTGAGCCCTGTAATGGGTTAGTTACTGTGCCAGGGATGCAGAAGATGAGGAAGACCTGGCACTACCCTCCAGATGCTTACAGTCTAGTGAAGAAGGATATTGACAAAGATCTCTTCCTCTGTCTGGTGGCATTCTGTGTTTCAAATGAGCAGAATCAACAGTCCAGGCTGGGTAAGGTTGCAGGTCACTAGCCAGAGGGGTCAGGAAAGGCTTCCTGGAATAGGATGCATCCAAATGATTTTGGGAGATCAGATAGAAATCTGGGGGAGGGTTCTAACTTTCAGTCTGAAACACAGCTTTCACAACCTCCCTCAGACCTTCATTTGACAGCTGCTGTTATGAGTACTTCTTGGTCCCTACCTCACATGCCTTGGTTTGCTCCATTATGCCTACCTTAACCCAGGATGAAAATGGGACCAAGCTGTCAGACGCAGACCTCCGGGCGGAGGTGGACACATTCATGTTCGAAGGTCATGACACCACCACCAGTGGCATCTCCTGGTTTCTCTACTGCATGGCCCTAAACCCGGAACACCAGCATCGCTGTCGGGAGGAAGTCCGTGAGATCCTCGGAGACAGGGACTCCTTCCAGTGGTGAGTGAGTCTGCGGGGAAGCGCAGTCTGTCCTGCTCAGCTGCAGGCTGTGTCCGTGCTGTCTGATGTCATCGCAGATGCACAGGGCCATCCCTGGAAACCAGGTGAAGGCAGCAGCAGCTGTCCTGTTACCTGCATGGTGTGGATGCTCCCCAGAGCCCCTTCTCCAACTGCAGGGTCTTTTCCAATGTGAGTAATGTAGAGAAGGTGGTCAACAGGAGGCCAATTTCTTGTGTGTTGATTCTGATGGTAGAACCTGACTATCTTTCTGGGTTCCTGGAGAGAAAGAGGTGCAAATTGAGGATGAACAGAGTTGGGAAAACCAAGGGTGTTGACCCCTTCTCACCTGCCTTTGGATGGCCATGTGCAGCCTCCAGACTCCTATGGTGAAGGAGAAAATACTGTTTTCTAAACTCCATCAATAAGAAACTGGATTATTCTGTCTCCTGGTTCAAGTTGAACTCATTAACTCAATACTATTGATGCTGATCTTTCTTTGCTGCAGGCTCTCTGGGAACCTCTCACACCTCTGCCTCCACATCCCTCTCTCCCTGCCTTCTCCCCTCTTGTCGTTACCTGGACTACGTATTGGGCAGGGGTGCAGAAAATGCTCAGCTGATGGGAGAAAGTTTAGATTTATTTGAGGGAGACACACAATTCCAGGGTCTAAGATTTAGAGGATGAAGTCTCCATTACTTATTTTTATTGGTTGGCTGTTGGAAATCTTCCAGGGTGTCCAGCCACATGTCAGGTGCTGTTGAGGGTGTGGGTTAGAAGAGGAGGAAGAGGATCCAATTTGCTGTTCTTGGATGTTTTAGAGAAACTAACTCACATAACTAAGAAGCTAGACAAAACCAAAGAATGAGTGACCCCATGTTACAGGCAAAGAAATCAGAAGGGGTGGGGCTTAAGTTGGCTTTCTAAGGAGGGGTGAAACTCCTGCAAAGGGAGAGAGCTGGGCATTCTAGGTTGGGAAACAAGGTGAACACAGGCTGGAGGCATGAAATATTTATTTTATTTTCCTTTATTCTATCTAGAACTTGAAGCAACTCAAAGGATACTTACTCAATAAAATAGTAAAACACAAATAAAAAATGAGGACTGGAGGCGAAAACCTAGGGGTTATGTAATAAGGTGTTGCATAGTAGTTATATTTGGACATCACAGTTGGGTCTGAGCTTCTTACTGGCAAAAGGGAAAAGAAATATATATTTATCTGAGCTTGTCGTTATTAATGCATTTATTACTTCATTCAACCAATGGATATTAGCTTCTGTTCCTTTCCATTCCAGCTCCAGAAGGGAATCTAAGCAGAACCCAAACATCTATCTCTTGAGGGGCTTCTGTGGGGCTCTGAGAGACACAGGAGTGACCTTGTCTTTGATGGCTGCGTGCACACACACCTCTAGGGTCCTGGGCTTTCCCCTCCCAGCAGGGAAGATGAGCGAGGGATAGAGAAACGTGGAGTCAGAACCCTGGGTCTGAGTGGCCACCCCATGTCCAGTGTGGCCCGACCACCTGGTGCACTTGTGTTCTTCTGAGTCTTGGGGTTGTGATGGTTGTGGAGAGGGGCAGTTGGGGCTGGAGCCTGCCTTCCCGCAGGGCCCTGTGGCTCCCCATCTCCAGAAAAGACTGGTTGTGTTGCCGGCAGGGATGATCTGGGCAAGATGACCTACTTGACCATGTGCATTAAGGAGAGCCTCCGTCTCTACCCGCCCGTGCCCCAGGTGTACCGCCAGCTCAGCAAGCCTGTCAGCTTTGTGGATGGTCGCTCTCTACCTGCAGGTGAGATGGTGTGGATTTGGGGCTGGAACTGGAGTTCTTGAGGATGCTTCTCTGACACTTGCTGTGCCTTTGGCTCACTATTTGCAACAATGACAGAGAACTCATGTTTTGTGTTTGGCCTGGGTCCAATCCTGGCTCTTTATATAATGAGCAAATTTCTCCACTTCTAAGCTTCTTTTTCCCCTTCTGTGAAATGGCTGTGAGGAGAGTACCTTCCTTACAGGGTTAATTTCAGGGTTGTCATGTACCACCACGCAGGTAGTGCCTTCAACAACTTCAGGAGGCACCATTCACATAGCAGAAAGTGTGTAAGAGTCTTTGCCTGTCCTGTTTGTGTTGGGTTAGTCCTTTTTGTTCCATTCCACGAAAGTCTGTGTTGGGTGCTGTGCTCAGTGCTGGTGCTACAGGAAATAGGTATGATGATGATCATAAGCACGGTGATGTGCTGAGGGTTGTCATAAACCTTCCGTCACTAGCAGAGCTGAGGCAGGGGCTGGCGCCTAGTTAGGCAGACATGAGAGGATTCCGGTCCTGTGAGGAGGTGGGCCTGGCTGTCCCAGGACCACCTGGTCACCTGCCCTCTACTCTGCCCACAGGCAGCCTGATCTCTCTGCACATCTATGCCCTCCATAGGAACAGCGCAGTGTGGCCCGATCCTGAGGTACCTCATTTCTGGGCCCAGAGGTCAAATGGGGTGGGAGGCTGTGGGGGTCACCCAGCCCCTGAACCTGGCAGCTATTTAAGCAAGGCCTGTCCCCTCAGGTCTTTGACCCCCTGCGCTTTTCCCCTGAGAATGTGACTGGACGCCACCCCTTTGCCTTCATGCCTTTCTCCGCTGGGCCAAGGTAAGGAGATGCCAGAATTTTCAGGTCTTCAGGACTAGGGAGGGGAGGATGGACGATGTTGTGGTCAAGGCATCACTTTGGAGAATTCTGTGATGAGGGGAACCATGCTGGGTGATTCTAATGCTGGCTATGTTCCAGGAACCTTCTTCCTACCATCAATATATTCATGTCCCTAGCAGGTGGTGGGGTGGGTGAGTCATTCCAAGAGAGACCCCCAATGTGGATCTCCTTAGTCTGGGACCTGTTATGCTCCCAAGCTCTGTTTCTTGAGTCCAGCCAATGATTCATACAAACATTGTTATTGATTTTTGTTGGCCCCTGGGAACACTGGATTTCATCACTCCAGACACTCCACGGCCCAATGCCTCTTTATGTGCTCACTGCAGGAACTGCATTGGGCAGCAGTTTGCCATGAATGAGATGAAGGTGGTCGCGGCCCTCTGCTTGCTCCGGTTTGAGTTCGCCGTGGACCCCTTGCAGCCACCCATCAAATTGCTGCAGCTGGTCCTGCGCTCCAAGAATGGCATCTACCTTCACCTGAAGCCACTGGGCTCAGGCACTGAGAAGTAGTTCTGGCAAGAGTAGGGCCTCAGATAGCTCAAGTTGTGGCCTCTCGCTGAACATTGCTCCCTCCAGGCTGAACTGTGGAGCAGCTGTGGCTTCCTGTCTTTGGGAGGCTTGTATTATAGACGGTGAGTAGGTACCCACATACGAAGTCACCGTCAGGGCAGAGTCATGGAAACATGTGTGTCTATAAATGCTTATCATACATGTAGTCTAGAGCTGACTTATTCATTCAACAAATGTGGTGAGCACCTATTTGTTTCTAGGATCTTGCTTTTTCTCCCATAATTTGCAATCTTTCTAAAATGCAGGAGAAACTTACATTCCAGCCTGGGTGATACGGCAA